CAGCCACCTTTTCTGCTGTTGCTCTGAAGCAACTTGTTTTTAAGGTGCCTTTGATTCTGGAAGCAATAGACAACCATCAATCCATGAATTTGTCCAATCCCCTTTGGTTATATGCATTCATTAACACAATGCTATACAGTAAAAGTAACCCAGTAAGGAATGTCGTCTACAAGAGCGGCTGCCCTCAGAGGCTGAGTATTTTTTTTTTCCTGTTTTTATAAGCAGGAAATTGTTCTTTTTGCTCCTAACGTTAACAAGCCGTGGCAGCCATTTCCAAATGACTGATGAGTATCTGTATAAATTACAGCCAAGCTGGGAACCTCTTCAAAGATGACACATAATCAAACAAATAACATCAAATGAAATATGCATCTCTTTTCAATACTTCCACTTTAAGACTGGGTACACACAGCATGTTAATGCAGAGTTTGTTCTAACTGTATGTAGATTATTAAATAAGCTAGAAAGAATGACAGGGACTTGTCCAGGTAGTCACCAGGAGTTAACACTGACTCAAAGTGTTACACACACACACACACACACACACACACACAAAGAGAGAGAGAGAGAAAGAACTCAGTCAGTCTGGAAGATGAACAAGGTTTGGGCAATTTCTGATTTGTATTCCTATTTTATTTTTATTTTTTTTACCTGTTGTTGCGATGCATCTTTGCAAAGCAGTTAAAAACTTTGGTGGGGCACCAAAATAAACCAGGGATAAGTCAGGAAGCAACAAACCAACCATGTGTGCCTATATGTACATCACACAGGGCTGTAATCATCCGGCCAATCACATACTGCAATTTACTCCCTAAAACTAACTATGGTTTATTTTTTTACCTCATTCATTGGTCATTCTAAGCCAGTGTTGTCCAAACTTGGCCACTTTAAGATGAGTGGACTTCAACTCCCAGAATTCCCCAGCCAGCCATGATGAAGTCCACTCATCTTAAAGTGGCCAAGTTTGGACAACCCTGTTCTAAGCCAAGAACACACAAATTACATTATGGCTTGGTGTGATATTTAAACTCAGTTTCTATTTTTAGGGAGCAAAGGATTTGCACATCTTTATATTCCAGATTTAGTTCTCTGTGGATACAGTGATGAAACGTTGTCCACCAAGAATGAACAGAACTCCGTCTTTGGAAGAAAACTCATAGTTTATCATTACTAGCAAGGAGTAATACTATTGGTTTTGATGAAAAATGAGCCTGCATTTTTATAAGGTAGTATCTTAGCTGAGAACAAGAAATGTGCATTGATCTAGGACCTGGAAATTGACTTACTTTCCAGTGAGTCATCAATTTCTTCATCAATCTGCTTAAGAGTGCCATCTCTCATTAGCTTTTCGGTAAAGACTCTGGATGGAACCAGCTCCCTCATAATTTCACCATCATCTTCAGATTTTGCCAGCCATTTCCCACATGGAAATGTGGTTTTCTCAGAACCCTGAAATCACAATAGGTGTTTTTAAAAAGGCAACTATCTTTAACAGTGAAATGATATTTGCAAACCTCAGGTTTTATTTATCCACAAAATGAAGCAAAATGCAGTAAATAGAACAGCATGAATAAATTCTATTAATTTCTAAAATGTGTAAGTCTTTTCTGTTTGGGCCCTCAGTGGGCTAGCAACTTGTTCAGAGGGAAAAATTGGGCAAGCTTTAAATATGTTCAGCTGTACTGTACTTTGTTGGGTTTCAGAAGAGCATGTGTGAAAGGATCACTGCAGTTTGCGAAATATTGTTGCTTAGTGTGATATGTAAACAAAATCCATTGTGGCTTATTCAGTAAACCATGGTAAAGCAATCATTTCCTTCAGAGATAGTTTACAATTCACAGTTGGGGTAATATAGGTCTCAATTAGTGTGATTAAGAATCCCATGTAATGGTTGTATTATTCAAACTTGCACTATTCTAAGCGATATTTCTATGGAAAATAGGGTGATTGGTTCCAGCATGACGGAAATAGGCAATTAAAATTTTTAAATATAATTTTTATATGTTTATGAATGAAATACTGTATAACAATAAAAAAGGATAAACCCATATCCAAAGCATACTTACTCTCTCCTGTATTCTGCTGTAGTTCTTCAAAATTAGCCTTTTCTTTTTCTGAGCTTTCCTCAAACAGAACTTTCCTTTTCTCCATTTTGCACAAATGATGATTAGTGTCTAAAACCTCAACAGCAACTGTGCATGTGCTAGCCTCAACCTTGCCTGTGCTAGCCTCACACTAACTGAATTTTGACTTGCATTAAATGTGACCTGCTATCCATTTATAACCCACACTAAATAGAATTTCACACTATGAAACTCGCACTAATCATGACTTACCTGTACAATAAATACAACATCAGTCACAAAACATTGTTTGGAAATAATTTCCCTTAGAAATTAGAAGAGAGGATGTTAATGTCATTATAACAGTAAACAATTACAATTCTATATATACTTGCCTAATGCAAATATTATTTAACTATGTATATATTTCTAATACATTTATACGACTATCATTTTTTAACCTACTATATTTTGTATAAATGTGTCCCATATTTCATTATAGTTGTCCATACAAAGTCTACGTCTATAGGCAATCCGCTCACTTGTTAGTCCAACCTTGAGGGCTACAAGGGTTAAATTTCCTCCTTTCCTGCTGGAAAGCTGTTCACCTGAAGCCAACTGCATTTCCAAAAACTGAATGCCAGAAAGGCATTTAAAAATTCATTTCCAAATTCTCCATGAAACAGAGATTGCTCAGTTCTCTGTTTTCCACCACCTTGGGACCTTCTGGGCAGCAGACACCACGTATGATTCAACCTCTTCCAACCTGGGGGCCCTCCAAATACATGGGATTACAACTCCCATCATCTCCAGGACCAGGGAGTACATGATATTACTATATAGGATTTCCTTTCTGAGAGTGGAGGTTGTTCTCCTCTAGCAAATATCAGTGATTTGTCCTGTCAGAATCACCATGTTCCCGTTTCAGGTTTTCCCCTTCTTCTGTATTTGAACTGAAACAAGCAGGATCTACTAAAATGCTCCAATATGCTTTTCTCCCTAGTCATATTCATTCTGACAGTTGAAATGTAATTAGGAGACATAAATGGCTTAGAGAAGGGTGGTGTTAGCCTTCTACAGTGAATACCATTTCTCCTGCCACACACTTTCAATTTAATCTGACCTCATCGTTCCCCCACTCCTGGCCCCAGGCAAAGGGTGGAGATGCATTGAGATGCCTGTTAACAATCTAATCAGGTAGCAAAAATTTTAGAGGCCTTGGCTGCCAAACGCTATACTATGAACAGCTGTAATATCTTGTGGCATGATTATGTCCCCATGATGCACCATTGGGCTTCTTCTCCTCTTTCCCCTTCCCTTCCATCACATGCTTAAATCAAAAAGTTTGGACAGATCATGCATAGCTAACAGCAACGTTCAGCTGCATCCTGATTAACGGGGTTTGCAGTGAGAGTCCAGCGGGAGGGGCACAAGGAAACACCAGCAGGCTAGTGGCTATGAGGAGCTGTCCAGAGTGCTGAAATCAACCTGCCCATGCGGAAGACTGCCGTGGTTTCCAGACACAGGACTCTATTCTAGTCATGGGAGAACAGCTGTATTTCCTTCTCCTTTCTGGAGAAACACTTAGCTGCCTTTGGTGAATCCTGCCCAAAGCTAATCAGGATCACACCCGGTTGGGAGATATCTGGAAATCTCACAGAACTGTAGACCAGTCTGGGGAGCTGAAAAGAACTTCCTGGAAGAAGACAATGGCAAATCACTTCCACACTGTTGCCAAGAAGACTCTATGGATGTGTCCATGGTTATAATGATCATAAAAGTGACCAACAGTGAAACAAATTGTTTGGATTGAGGATAGTTTTATTGTTCTTTCTTCTTTTTTTTTTTGTAGACTTCTCTGGGCTTCTTTGGAAAGGAAAATTGTTATGGTTGCTATTGGTGTTATATAATTATCACTATCACAAGACAAAAAAAAAAAGGAATGAGAATCAATGGGGGGAAACAATGTTAAAACTATCAAGGGAAAACATCTCAAATTATATTTGAGACAAAAGCCCCCGTAGTCTCCAACGGATAGCCATGCTCTTCTGTTTTGACAAAAAGACTTGGCTGCTGATTCCACACATCTAACTTTCTGTGATTTCCTGTGCCTCTATTCCTGCTCTAGTATCTGGGCAAGCACTTCCCCTTCCCCACATCCTTTTTCTCAGGATCCAGCTTCTCCTGCTCCTTTTTATCTCATCCACCTCTCCACCCTGCCCCAGATCTCTGACTGTTTCTCACCTTACAGCCTCCTCAGAGGTCCATTCCTTAGCTCCCCTTCTTCACAGACAAGCTTTTCACTCTACTTCCCATCTCCCTGGCAGAGATAGATACTGCAACAGACCAAGGGTCTCAGAGACAGTAGCCATGGGATTCCAGCTCCTCCCCTCTGTGATGTGTTTGAGTGTGTATAGGTGAAAGCTATAGTCATTCCTGGACGTAACTATCTTCTGAATGCAGATAAAGCAACTGCTGTTGCTAGTAAGCTGAGGTCCATAAGAATCTAACTGCATAAAGTGCGCCAAGACAATCTCATTTGTTCCAGGGAGGGAAGAGAGAGGAGCTGTCACACTTATCTCAGAGTCCCTTGATGTAGCTGCTGGCTGCATCCCATCCATTGACAGCAGTTGATTTCTCAATCTGCTGCAACTTCATTATGTAGCTCTGCTTAGGCAACATAATATCTGGAGCCCCTAAAGTGCCTGCCGACACCCCCCTTCATGCCGACCTGATATTTTCAAAAAAGATTTCACTTGGGTTTTAAAAGTTTTTTTTTCATTAAAAAAAATCAACAGGAAGGTGGTCTATTGGAAAACAAAGCACCAGGCCACTAAAGAAGCCATTTTGTGAATGTGCCCAACACATACTCTCAGTATTCCAAATATCCATCCCCGCCCTCCCCATTGCATGCTCCTAATGTAGTTACACCTAGGCTGGTTGCATAGCATCCTTTTACTAGGTCAGACATAGTAGCCACATTTGCACATAGTGCAAACCTTGATTAGCTTTAACCCCATTATTTGTTCTTTTGTGGCTTACCCTGATATGCAAACCCAGCCAATTTGGTTAGTTTATATAGTTCGATATATTTTCTGAATGCATGAATTGGGTTAATTCAGTAACCCAGTAAAGAGTGTTGTGCAAACTTAACAGTTACATTATATTTTTTGTGTTTATCTTTTAACTTTGTAAAAAAAAAAAAATTGGAATAAAAATTATATAAAAGACTGCATTGATACAGATGCTCTAAAACCAGCCCTGGAAGGCCCCTTACAGAAGCTTGGCCATAATCCATGTGAGTCTCACCCGAAAAGAGGAATGGTGCTCTCTCTGATCTTCAAAAAAAGGTCTTCCAAATGGCGTTTAATTCAGCTTAATTTGTTTGTAATGGATTTAACCATACTTTGAACAGCTTTGTCTCCCCTCGTATTTGCTATTTATAATTGGCATTTGAAAATGTATTGTATTATTCTAGTGACACTTTTATGTAAGCTGCTCTGAAAAGGTTCTATCCTGAATCACTGCCTAAATATAAACAAGGAAACATCCTTCTGTTGTTCACTGATTCTCCTCTGCAAAGGATTTGCATTATGTTGTGGCTTGAGATGCATATATTTGTGAGAGTAACAGATAGGAAAGAGTCATGCTTTAGAAAACAGTGTGGGTGTACAGTGTGGATTCTGTTTCCTTGACCATAACCGGTTCCCAGAGAGAAATAGCCCAGCTGTACAAATTAGCCTATACTGGCAATAAACCACGATGGCTAACAATATTTACCTGTTACTTCTCTTAAATAAAGAGCACAAGTACTTAAATAAGGCAACACCATTCCAGCTGAGAAGGGAAAGGGGTGTATGTGTGAGACATATGAGAGGGAGGGAGACAGAGAGAAAGAGATAGAGAGAGTCAGAATCAGAGAGCAAAAGCCAAATGAGGACATTCAATCACAGCTTCTCTTTGATCTGGGAAAGCAAATCTTGGGTCTTACTATTCCTTGTGTTCTTCTAAATAGTTTTTCCCCCCTAGAAGTAGGGCTGGAGGGCTGGATTCAAGTCTCATACTCAATCATGAATAAACCTTGGATCTATCACAGCCTGCTAGTCTAAGAAGATGCACAAGATTATAGGCCAAACTCAGCTCCTTGGAAGAAGGAGACAAGTGTGTAATAAACAATTCACTAAAACAACTAATATAAGACTATAATATAAGACTATTGTGAGTTGTAATGTGCATTTCCTTTGTCTCTCTCTCTTATCCAATCAAGTCAAAACTTGTTAACATTCCATCTGTCACTTCTTAGCCCATGGTAAAAAGATGCAACAATATGTTAGCATTATCTAAATTGTAGTAAGGCTGGGTTAACACAACAAATTAAACACTTAGCCAAACACAACTGCTTTGTTCATCTAACATGCTAGGGCTAAATAACCCATATTGTAGCTTTATACAACCACCTTTTACATTCTTGATAGCAGTGAAATTTGAACTGGTGACTGATTTATTTGATTTGGTAATCAAAGAAGCTTCTGCTTTAACCAAACTAGAAAAGATCTTTGGATGGAAGAAATACAGGTTACAAAAAAATTCACCTTACCTTTCCATTTGGTAAAAGCCTACGTATGTCTACTTGATCAAGGTGCCAACCTGAATTGATACCTGAGCCATCGTGCCCAATGCGGATCTTTTCAAGAATGTCTCCAACATCTTCTAGCTGAAGAAATTTAAGGAAAACATGGTTATGGAATTACCTGAAGCAATTTCCTTAAAATCTAACACACGATTCAAATTGTTCCTTTAATTCACATTTTATTTTTTCCAAATGGGATAAAATGATGGCAAACATCCTGCTGACCCTTCAAAATGCAGCCATCTTAGATGGATGTCACATAAGTAATAGAAAGTTGAATTGTTGGTGGATTTGGCAAAAGTCACGTATTGGGACAGAAAGTGAAGCCTTCATAAACTAAACAATGGGACATTCAAACATTTGCAAAATCCATTTAGAACAGCAGTATCTACCGCAAGTTGTGATGATCCCACAATGACAACACACCCACGGTACTGCAATTATGCATAATGTCTGATGCAAGGTTGACATCATCACAATTTGTGTGATGACATCATCATACATGTTTTGCCTCTTTGTTCCCCTCTCCTACAGATGCCCATTACTTAGAATAGTCCTTTCTGCAACAGGCTGCTTCACTTTACAGGAAGGAAGTTATATTGACTAGTGTGCTAGAAGGTTACCTTAAACCCAGCTCCCCTCTATTTAGTTTGAATATATTGAACTAACACATTCAGTCTGGTTACTAATTTAACCCATTTTCTGAGCTTGCAACATACACCGAGCCATAAATTAATGGAATGGCCAAGCCAGAAAAAACTACCCAAGTTTGAAACTACTCAAGCAATGCACATCACTGTAACTTGGTTAAATATAAATGAATGTAGTCAGCAGCATTCCTCTGTGAGAAGACAGTAGGGTAAGGGGGGGACTGACTTCTAATCCTGTTCTTCCCCTCATGTCGTTTCATGGAAGTAAAATACAGGCATTGTAAGGCCTTGTTATATTTTTTGTCCTAAAATTTTTTTAAACCAACTGGCCCAAAAGCTATACTTGGTCTTGGAGTGCAAACAAAAAACTGGGTTACGAAACACAGAGAACAAAGATATGTAACGGGCCAGGGAAAAAAATGATTTCATTTCATTTCATTTCATTAAATATACTGTAATTGACATGCTTCTTATCCATGTATTTAATTACAGGTGGTCCCCAGTTTAAGAACGAGCTCCATTCCCAAGGTCTGTCCTTAAGTCAAATCTGTATGTAAGCCAGAATGGTATTATTGTATAACACTATATAAGTAGCATTGTGTAGTGAACTTGAACCATTGTGTATTTAACTCGAATTTTGCTACAATAGGCTCTGTTCTTAACTATGGGTCAGCTGTAACTTCGGCGTTCTTAACCTGACGACTACCTGTATTAATCATTAAATGACTGTGTTGTACTATAATTTGGTACCAATATTTGAAGAGGATCTGGACACTATACCCATGGCTTGAGACTTCAAGCTTGCAAGGTTGCCTCAGAATATGGGTGGGAAAACCCCGGATACTGTTGGATTCCAACTCTCATAATAAGGATGTCCAGCTTGTGCAGAGGCACAAATTCTATAGCCTGGATCTAGATGTTTCAGCTTCTTTTTTTAGCAAAATTGCAGACTGGGGGAAATCCATTAGATTAGTGTCAAACATGTTTCAAAAGGAAACACTAGATAAACTCATCATTCACTTGATCCTGAACATTGAAAGCCAAGGTTATTAATCTCTCATTTGGAAAAGATGAAAACTCTCTCTATTATCATAACAATAATAGAAGAGATATTATTGCCTCCCTTTTCTACCCATCCCAAATAAATAATCTTTTTTTATTTTGTACTTTTGAAGGAAATGCTGCATGACTTTAAAAAGAGGCATGACAAAACCAAAGAAAATATGACACTATAACACTTTCACTATAACACTATCCATGTTGCCAGCAAATTCCATCTAGTGTAGCTGAGACCAGCTTTTAGAGTCCTGCCTACAAAATACAATGTAGATCCAGCAGTAAAAATACTAAAACAGAGCCTGGCAATGTATAGTCCTGGATGGTTAGGAATACTGGCATTCCTACAAACTATTATTGTATATTCTTACAAGCAGGTTACACTCTTTTGTTTTTCTTCCCTCCTCTGCATATTTCATATTTGTCTACACCCAGTGGTAGGAAACAAATCAAACTTTACTAAAAAAAAAAAAAAAAAAAAT